AGCCATGTGTACAATCTGGTCCCGAATTAAGTGAGGTTGGCTGATGAGACTGAGAAGAAGCTGAAACTTCAGTCCACTATGGACGAGAAAATCATTTGGGCGGCATAAATAAGTTAAGCGTCGGCTTTACCTCGCTATAGTAACTTTATCATGGTAATTTCCAGCACCAGAACCAAGCGGTAGATGCCAATTTTCTGTTAATCCACCGTTACATCTTCCATCTTCCCTAGCATAGTACTTAGCGTTCTATCCTCATCCTCAACCTCGCTTTAGATGGCAAAATTACCATCTCGCTGTGTCTTCCTGTGTTCTAATGATAACTAAGAGTATGCCAAGTGGATTGCAGGGTTATGATAAAGGAGATGGAAAAGGAGGGAGAGTAGATGTCACAAGGGTCGAAAAGATAATTTGACATTTGATAAAATTTAACTTTGTGTTTAGGCTGGCGCCTCTCAATGACGATGCAGATTAGGATGCTGACGAAACGTCTGGGAGCGGACAAAGTCCATGGTCCTAAGCTGAGAATTATAATTACTATAGCAGAGAACTTCGTACAAGATGCGTCCAACTAAGCCGCCCTGACAACACAAAGTCAGACCACTTGTATACATCGAAAAGAGACTGCGATCAAGATAAAGGCCACAACATTTTGGTCTTGATATCTACGGTCATCTTAGGGCACTCACCAAAACACAGTTACTCTTCTTATCCATAATTTCTAGAGACCCCCTCCTGTTTTGCTTAGATGGGAACTCTCCGTAACCTTCAGAACATTATAATTTGGACGAGTATCCTTTGCGTCCTGTATTATTCCCTTAGTAATGCCTTTGGAAATCTTCGGTCTATTTTAATAGATGATGGTGTTACAAGCTTTTTTGCTTATGTGGTGACAAGAATCTTCCAGTAAAGCTAATAAAAAGGAATATGTCGTCATTATCTGATGCGATCGACCTTCGAATCCCTTAAGTAAACACTTTCACTCAACAATAGTATCTTATGTAGGGGGGAACAGATTCTAGCTTCAATGTTGCCTGAGTCTCATTAACACCCGCAGTGAGAAACGAAACTGGATTGCGGTAGTGCAGAATATGATCTCAATGTGTTGCCACCACGTTAGACTGCCACAAATGCCCCTTAGTCACATGGTAGACGTACATTTAAAGGAAGACCAGGCCTATCCTATATCACATTTTTAAAGTGGCAAACTTCCATTTTATATTTAGTTTATAAGTACGTTTTTGAGATTATCAATAGATCTGGTATAGGACCTACATTTACCCTATTTCGTGTGAGGTTATTAAGGAATGGTAGTCGAATTTTTCCACGATGAATTTCGCGCAGCCTTGCCTCCCAAGACAGATGTGGACTGCCGTTTCGACCAAACTTAAGTCTCATCAGCACGCTCAGCGGGACTCGGACCAGGATACTTCAGCGAATACTCTCGACAAGTTAAACATTGCGAAACACTGCCACAAATGACTTCGGGTCACAAGCCAGATGCGAATTACAAGGGAATCCTGGCCTTTCCCATATCACATTTTTGTGGTGGGATTTCGACTAAGCACAGTTGTATTTGATGCAGAAGTCGACCACATTCTTTATTTTCAGTTTTAGTTAAATTCAATAAAAGTATTATCTCCACTCATATTAATGTGGGAAAATTCAACTAGTAATCCCTTATCACCTTAAAAATGAAGTAGGGCGGCTACAGCTCTTAAGCTTGTATTTAGCTCTCACAATCAACTACGCTACTAAAATTTAGATGGAGTAGGCTTAGAAATTTTTGGTAAATCTCAAATAAAAATCCCACACCATTTTGATATCCATATCCACGATCGAATTAAGACCGAGTTATATGATTTTGCCATCAGCCTCTCAACCATTTTAAGCGATCTAGGCTGAGCGTCTGATTTTTTAAGTTAGATAAACTTAGTAGCCTCATAAAAAAATGAATAATGTAAGACAGATTATGAGAGGAAAATCGCCCATCTGTGGATGGCGAAAGTGTGACTGGGACTGGAGGATCAGGCATGAGGTGCTCACTGCAGCTGGAGGCGCGTCTGAATGAGCCCAACTGCAACCTTTTCCCCGATGTTCCTTTGTCTAGCCGACCCTCAGAGGTGGTCGTCTGGCCGAGCCAAATGGGCATGGTTACCGGTTGGACTGAGGGTGTTCGTGGAGGCTGTCTTGACGGCGGTAGCAACGGCTGCGGCTGTTGATGAAGAAGAGCTTGTGGAGGCCGGACAGCCGGAACAGATGGAATAGTTAAAGGTGTCGGTTGACGCGGTTGGACCAGTGGAATCGAGGGCGTTGTGGACAAAGACGGAGCAGCCGCAGAAGCGATCAGTTCGGCCGTGGCCTCGGCCAGTACAGCGCATTGCTGTTGTCGCAGCGTAAGGAAGTGATGCAGCTGTCGGTCCTGCCAGCCGAAAAGGAGGGTGTTTACCAATCCGCTCAGCGGCAGGGTCAGCATCTGCAACGCCCGGCAGGGAGATGAGGAAATTAAGAATAACTGGGCCTCAAAGAATCCCTGAATAGATTAAAATGGGCCTAAATTTCAGTTTGTGTGAAGAAGCGAATGGAAGAGATTGGTAACATGGCCTAACCGGAAAATGAAGGAGGACCATCTCGGAGACGTGCCTGTAGATTCGTGCAATTAATTCCTCTACGCACTATTCCACTAACCCAATTAATCTTTGCGGATCTTTCATCTAAACTGTGACAGATATCGTCAGAGATTTGTGAATTTCTTTTATGCACGATATCTCGCTCTGATGATGTATGTCATAGCAAGACAGACAAGAGTTGATGACATATTTATCGGGGTCTCAGAACAGTCAACAGAGAACTTTATCCCACAAATCTACAGATACAACTTCAAGGCAGTCCTATTTCGGCTTTCGGTAAGGCCATTTTATGGATCACTTTCACCCATCTCTTCAAGTGGAATGAAAGATACGCCAACCCCAAGGAAGATGGGCTGTTTTCACCAAAACACGAAAACAACAATGGTGGCTGGCTGCAAACCCACCTACTCGTAAATTGGGTGCAGATGAAACGTGAAACGGATGCAATTGGAATAGAAAATCTGCATCCTTCCTAAAACAATTATGCCTTTTCTCCTGCAATGTTACTGCATGTAATTGCGTCCCATTGCACGCGTGTTGTATGAGTGAATTGCTCTTGGAATGAGTGCGATTTAAGAGACAACACCAGATTCGAGTCTAATCAAGCCTCTTCCTCTTTTTTGGCAATACTTCTCGTTCCCCCCTCGCTCTAATCCTATCCAACAGCCACAAATAGTTTCCACCTAATTTCCGACACTCATTCCTTCTATTCAGTGTGTTGACTGTATTGTTGGTTTCTTATAGATTCCCTAATCTTCCGCTTACTGTTTCCAAAATTCTGTACTATTGATAGACCAAATTTGCCTGATGGAAGTAAGCTAGTCTTCAGAGCTAATCCTAGGATTCAGCTAATATTTTGACCCATACAAACATTATAAAATCACACTACTTGATGAGAAAGAAAACAAGAATACGTCAATCATTAGCAAGCACTCTCAGTTGGGAAGATTTCTTTAAATTATACAG